GTCTTTTTGAGGAAGCCGAGGCTCATGCTGAGGTCCAACAGAGCCCTGAAGGGATGGGGAAGACCTTCCTCTCTGGCCCACACCTGAACCTGGTCGAGCACACAGTGGCAGACATCACCCCTGGGGTAAGAGATGCCCTTCCTGCAGCTTCTCGGGTTTGCCAGGCCTCCTCCTCTTCTGCCTGGAAGGCTGCAGGTGCTCTCGGCCTCCACTTCTCAACTCCCTGGTCACGCTGTCCCCTTGCAGGGCTGGCTGATGGGTCACATCCTCCTTGGACCCCCGTGGTCCAGACCAGCCAGGTCACTCCAGTGGGTGACCTCAGGGTCCTGCTCTTCTCCTTCATGGCCAGGATCGCAGCTGCAGCTCACTGATAAGGCTGCCACTATTTAGGACTGTGACCTCGTCTGTTGTTCAGGACTGGACAGCACACCTCACCCCTGACACCATGCAGTGCGTATGTGACGATGACATCCGTGCTGTGTAAGGAGCCTGCTGTATTTTGTGCGCTGGGCACACTGAGACCCACGTGTCCCCTTCAGAATCCTCCAGCCCCATACTGCCATATGTGGGGTAAAGTCAGTCCCCAGTGGGTTTCTCCCTCTGGTAAAACTCTGCTCGTCCTCGGCCTGCTTGGCTGCCAGCACGCGCCCTGCAGGGTGGGCCTGTGAGTCCATCAGTAACAGCAGCCCACTCGAGGCGCTTGGTGACAATCCCCCCATAATGTAAGCGGTTGTCTGGATCTTGTTCACCGCCTTTGCAATAAACAAAGCCCCAAATGACTTTGCTGAGGAGGCAGCTCAACCAGACCTTTCATTGCCCTGGTTACTTCTGAAAACTCTGACTGCACCTGAGTTCCCACTTGTCACTCGTTCCACTGAACGGGAAAACCGCATCCACGAGAACGGCTGTTCCCCTGCCTGCTGCCTCACTGGTAATCCTGGGGAACGTGTACTTGGAATGGTCTCATGTCTTGGTCAGTGATGCACCGAATGCAATGTCATGTCACAGAAAACAGGAAGTCGAACGGCCTTATTTGTAATTTTGCTGTTTGGTCTGTTCAGTGATTAGTGGCTCACGTGCTGGTGTTGGGGATCATTCTGGGTGGTAATAAAAATAACACCCCATGGGGCTGTTCCCTGTGGCTGGAGGAAGAACAAAACGATAGTGCAGCTCTAAGACCTTGACCTAGACAAAGCTACTGGCCACAGGCTACATGAAGAGCTTCTCCATTTGAGGAACTTGACTCAGTCGCATTAGTTACGCCTTATGACCCCACTCAGGAAATCACAGTATATATTACCTTTCCATTTCCTGGGTGATGAATGTTTTTTAAGTTCATTAGAAGTTTACTTAAAGTGCTATGAAGTTCGGCCATTCTAAAGAGATTAGAACTCTGGACTGGTGAGTCAATCTGTGAGGTGAAGGATGCAGAAAGGTTAGAAAGCTCCCAGTAGTTTTGGAAAGGAATAGAATAAGAATAGCAGTGGTGGACACTTGATTTCTCAGACACTATTTTACTTTTTGACATTCTCTGTGGCATAATCTCTAGAAGAACAGCCTCGTTAAGTCGTCGCCACCGCTCACTGAGTAGACATCGGGGTCTCTGCCTGAGACCCAGGGGCCCTGAGCCTCACAGGTGCAGTGAGTTGCCCCGGCGGGGGCTGTGCTGCCTTTGGTTGAGGGTCCCTCAGCCTGGAGGATTCTCAGGTGGGGGGAAAGGAGCTCTTGGTACCTTGTCGTGGCCCTAACGGGGTTCAGAACCAGCCTTCCTAAGATGTGACACTTGCACGTAGACTGTTTTGGGTTGAAGGCAATCGGGACCCTGCGTATTCAGAAAAGCCCTTTGCACCTCAACTACCTTGACAAATGTAAATCAGGGACCTTGCCCATAATGTGAGTTATCACCAGAAGTAACTTGTTACTTATCTATGTGTCAGGCAAACACCTGATCACTGATTGTCTGCTCTTCTTACCGTCTTGTGAATTACCCTTCTCCACCGTGAAGTCCAGAGTGCCTCACCTCACCCTTAGTTAGCTCAGGATGTCGTACAGGCCGCATTTCACCTGTCCGTCTCTGAACCTGTCGTGGCTGGGGGATCTCTAATGCTCATGTATGTGGGTTTCCTGTACGTACATGTGTAATTAAATTTGTTCATTTCCTCTTATTAATCTATCATGTTGACTTAATTGTTAGACCAGCTGAAAGAACCTGGAAGGGTAGAGGAACATTTCTCCCTCCCCCTCAGCCGCAGGTGCCGGTACTGGGAGCAGGTTCAGGTTTCCCCGTTGTCTCTCCAGTGGTCTTCCCTTCGGCCCAGCATGGCTCGGCGTGTTCTCCTCTCCTTTCTGCTGGATGGAGGCCACACAGTGGTGCTGTGTTTGAGCAGCTGTGGAGAGGAAATTAGCCACAATTACTCAGGCTCTTCCTTTGGCCAGTCAGAATGACTTTCATTTCTAAGCAGTGTTTTATCCCAACCAAGGATATGACCTGCTTTCTAAATATACCTTGGCAGAGTTTCCAAAGAACTTGAATGCTCGGTCTCTGTAGGCTGCCCCTGGGGGCCAGATTCCTGGCACACTCGCGTGGGAAGGCCCGTAACCCTCCATGCAGTTGTTTGATGCTCTTATGTCACTGATGAGACGGCTGGGGCCCAGAGAGGCGAAAGGGGCCCATGCAGGGACACATGCAGATCAGCAGCCCATTACTGAGCACGTATCCATCCATCCATTTCCCTCAGCCACGTTCATTCTGCGCAGTGGAAGTGTTGTTCCAGGAGTTTATGCATCTGCTGCCAACAAGACAGACGCCGCCCCTGCACTTACGGAGTTTAGAACCCAACGTTGAACACCAGACAGTTGCAGTTTGTCCTTATTTTTCATTCTGACTGACCACATGTGGGGCGCAGCAGGGGCAGTTAACGTGGACACCGGGGAGGCCTGGTCCAGTCTGGAGCCCAGGCGAGGCCTTGCTGCGCAATGATGTTGAGTTGAGCTCCGAAGGACGGGCAGAAATGGAGCAGGGGAGGCAGTGAAAGGAAGAGGCTCCCAGGACTGAAACGCATTTGTAGGAAGAGGAAGAACAGGGCAGCAGGCACGTGGGAGAAGCGGGAGGGAAGGCGGCGGCTGTAGTAGTGGGAGAGAGCCCGCGGGGCTGCGGCACCGGAGGGCCAGGCGTGTGGGTGGCCTTGAAGGCCACAGGGACCCGGTCACTTCCTGAAGAGCAGGGGGAAGGATTTTAATCAGGAGAATGACCTCATGTGTTTGCACTTAAAAAACCCATCATCAGCCACTGTGTCCACACTGTACCCGCCCCAGCAGCGCCCGGGCACCCAGCGGGCCTTCCCGCTGCCCTCGCAGCAGTGCCTTGTTCTTGCCCTGTTTTGCCACCGCACGTAAATAAAATGACACACACCGAACCGCTCAATTTATTTAAAAGCGATTAAAGCTCTTTGGTATAGAACTTTGTAATTTTTTTTACGATTCGCCTAGTAAAAATACTGACAGTAGAAGCAGTTCTTCAACAGATGATAAAGTACTAACATATTTTCCCTTCAAAAATTACCCCAATCTATCTAGATGGAGCCAGGACTCCTGTAACAGGCTTTGGAAAAAGAAGGGGGAGTGAGGCACAGATACCTAAGCATTCAGCAGTTTGTTTTCTTGAAAGATACCTCCCCCTGACACCCACCCCAGACCCCGGCAGGAGACAGAGGAGAATCTGCTTGAGACTCAAACCGAGGGCCGTACACAGCGTGTTGCTTACTGGGCAGCATCTGGGGGCTTCACACCCGAGCACTGGTGAGGTAAGGGAACCCAGGGGGACGGACCTTTAGTCACGACCTGCTGCCTTCTGAAAGCCGGACCCAGAAAATCTGGACCCAGGGAATCTGGAGTCAGAAAATCTGGAATGAACCTGCCGGGGGTCAAGCACAGCCGCACTGAGCAGCACAGGTGCAGAGTCAGGACACCAGAGTTCAAGTCCGTGATGTCATTAACGAGGGGTGTGTCTGTGCAGAGCTCCCTTGGCCTCTCTGAGCCTGAGTTTCTTCTGTAAAATGGGGCCAATGCTACCCGTCGATGGAGGTGTGCGCAATCCACCATGATAAATGTGGCAGTGGAGACCCCCAAATGGAGAATGACGGTTCCACATGGCAGCGACTTTCACAAAAGAGTTCAAAGTATTCTTTTGTTAGGGGAAGGATTCCATTGTGTTAAGCTCTTTTGGGAAAGAATAATCTATAGACACGGTTAAAAGTGTGCCCACGCGTGCATGTGTGTGCACACACACACTTGAGGAGGGGCTGCTGGTCCTGCTGCCCCTGCAGCATCTCTATCAGGCACCCGCCGAACACCCTCATGGGCAAGGGGCTGCCCCGCGTGGAGGCCTGTTCCACCAGCATGGGCCTCTCCTACCCGAGGGGCTTGCAGCTTGTCGGGGGGGGGGGGCCTCTCCCACCAGCCGTCTGTTGAGTTTGCCAGTCCTGGTGTATCATAAAATGTTTTATTCGCTTTGTGACTCAGAAGGTTCATTTCTCCCTGGGAAATCCCTCTCTGCCCAGTGGAGACTGGCGTGCCCGCTGGGTCTCCCTGGTGCCCCAGCAAGGTCGCAGGACTCCAGCGGGAACTTGCCAAAGAAAAAGGCATTACAGCCCTGAATGGTAGTTAGATGCAAAAGAGATGGCTGGGACCCCTCTTCCAGAATGTAGACTCGCTTTTGAAAATCAAGAATGCAAATCTGAGCTTGTGCAGTGCTCGGGTACAGTGTAAGGAGACAAAGAGAAGAAGGAATCAAGGACACCTTTCAAAGGGATGTTTATACCAAGTTCTAGAAAAGTTTGCAGAAGCTACCAAGTTTTGTACGTCCAGCGTGGTTTCTCTCTCCTTCAGCCTGTCGGGGCTGATAAGCAAGCCACTCTCTGGAGCAGGCGGGGAAAGTGCATTCTGGCCACGTCCGAACAAGTCGTAACCCATTTCTCCCGTGTTTGCTCTTTCCTGCCCAGATTCCTTTGTGGGTGGCGTCATTGGCCTCATTTTTGCGTACATTTGCTACAGACAGCACTACCCGCCGCTGGCCAACACGGCTTGTCACAAACCCTACGTGAGCCTCCGCGTTCCGACCTCGCTGAAGAAAGAGGAGAGCTCGCCCGCCGACGCTGCGCCCACCCTGCCTCTGGAGGGGATCACCGAGGGCCCCGTGTGACCAGCGCCCCTGGGGGGACGGACGGTGAGCCCGGGCGCCCTTCCACCCGACGTCATCGCGCCGCAGGAGAGGTTTCCTGCAGCGTGTGTCCCATGCGTTCTTTCTCACGGTGACCCTTCGCTTCCGTGTTGCCGGTGGTTCCTGCTCCTGTACGTGCTGAGTCTCCACTGTCTCGAATTCACAGAGGAAGGACGCAGGAGCCACCTCTGGGAGACGCGTGGAGGAGGCTGCCAGGGTGGGGCGGGTGCCGCTCGGCGGATTCTTCCATCTGCAGTGTTTGCTGTGAAAACTGCCTTCCTCTGTGTTCATGGTTGTAAAACATAATAAAACCTCCCACCGAAGGTCGTTTGGACGTGCGTGGGCCTCACAGCCGAGGCTGCGGCGGGGCGGGTGGGCAGGTCAGCTGCGGCCTCACACTCAGGGCCCCGCTCCAATGGCCCCTGCGGGCAGGAGCCCACCCCCTGAAGAACCACCGAGCCCCCCCACAGGTAGCCCGTGTGTCCTCAGTAGGTGACACTGAGGGCTTAGCCCAGCGTGTCGAGACCAGTGCAGAGAGGCCTCTGGGCTCGAAGCCCCCCAGCCCCGTGGCTTCGGGTGAGGACAGAGTCTGCGTGCCGTGGGGGGCTCCTGCGTCACATTCTGGGAAAGGAGAATGACAGGGGGTGATTCCCAGGCCCCTGTCTTCCATCTCCTTAGTCCCTAAGGGATGGGACAAAGAGGGGACTGCTTCATGTCCTCTACCCGGAAAGAGAGGGCACTCCGAAATGGCAGTGTTTGACTTCTGGTGGGAACTTCACAGCACGAGTCTGCTGCGGGGCCACTGTCACCTTGTCTGCTTTAGACAAAACCCAGCCGCCTCCCCGAGGGCTTCTTTCCCCACATGCCCCTCATCAGGTGCGTCCGTCACTCTTCTCGGTCTCACCTTCAAAATACACCTCCCAGTCCTCTCACCTTCGCTGTTGCCACCCTGTGTCACTCAGAACGCCACGCCTCCCATGACCATGTCCACCTCTGCTTCCTGACCCACGGGCCACGCGGACTGGACTGCACCCGTGGGCTCCTTTTCCACGAAGCCGTTACTTACATCGACTAAAATTCACCTATGTCCAGCACCCACCTCTCTGAGTTCTGATCACTGCGTGTGGGAGTGTAGCCACCACCGCAGGAAGGAGTAGAACTACCTCTTTCCTGAAGTTTCCTTGGGCTCCTCTGCTTTCTGTCCTTTCTTGTCAACTGTTGTTAAAGTTTTACCTTTTTAAAAATGTCACATAAATACAATTACCTGCTTCTGCCTTTTTTGAGATCTGTCCACCCGATATCCACTCATGACAGGTTTCCTCCTGGGCCCGCCCCCACTTTGCACACGGTGCTTCCTCTCTGTCGCTCAGACTAGCTTCCCAGTTTCTTGCCTCTGCACCCATGGGCCCTGGGGACCCTCAGTGCCTCTGGCCTGCTCCGACTCTCCCTCAGGTCTCAGCTCAGATGGCCCCTCCTCAAGCCCCCACGTGCCATGCTGGTCCTCTCCCCTCCTCTGCTCACCACACCCCCCTCCACACACACAAATATTTTTCTCTCATATTTTCCTACTACATTCCTACATATTGCAGTTACAGCATTCATAAATCTTCATGGGTTGAATGGTGCCCCTTAAAATTTACATTTTGAAGTCCTGACCCTGCGTACCTCAGAATGTGACCTCATTTGGAGACAGGCTCCTTACAGAGGCAATCAGTTAAGATGAAGTCATTAGGATGCGCCCTAACCAGCAGGACTGGGGTCCCCGATAAGGGGTCCATCTGGAGACAGGCATTGACCGAGGGGAAACCTTGTGTAGACAGCCATCAACAGCTGAGGAGAGAGGCCTGGAACCTTCCCTGCTCATGCCTCGGTCTTGGACCTTGAGCCCAGCCCCCAACCCTGTGGGACATTCCTGTTGTTTCAGGGACCCAGTCTGTGGCACGCGGCTACTCGGCCCGCTGAGCAACCCAGTACATTCTTCCCCCTTTCCGCCCTCACCCGAGGGATCCCTCTGTCTCGCTCACCGTTCCGACCCTTAATTTACAGGCTCATCAGTTTATTTTTTCTCACCATTATCCCTATGAGGTTGGCTCTTCAAGTTCAGGTTACCTCAGGGTGACACCCCTAAAAGCTAGAGGATTCCTGATTCTTGGTCCCATGTCACTCAGTGCGTAGTTTGCTGGGGGTCTCCCTGAGGAATCTGCAATCTCCTGTCTTCCTCCCCTTCCAGGAGACGGGATGGTCGGTCCGAAAGTACATCGGCGGGCTCGGAGTTACTTCATTTGGGAGCGGGGAGAGAAGCGAAAATAACCACCTGTCACCCACACCCAGATGCCTTAAAGGCACTACATTAAACAAAGCAAACCAACCAACTTTATAAAAGCCTTCTCTTCTTAACCTCAACTAATTTATGAAGCAGATGCCCGGTCCAGTTCTCATGTGATAGAGTGTATTGCTGTTTGATTTACAAAGGTCTTTTGAGGACAGACATGGAGCTGCAGGCCTGCGGATTAAATCACGCCTGCTGGCCAGGAGGCATTTGCCAGAAAGGCCAGGAAAGGAGAGGCCAGGGTAGCTTTTAAACTGACCCCTGACCCGCCGCCCCCCCAACCCCACCAACCACAGGGCTATGAGGGTGCAAATTCCAAACACCAGGGGTGGGTGGAGAAATGCAGGTGTAGGGGGTAGTGAAGGAGGCAGGCAGAGGACTGCATTGCAAATACAGTGCTTCTGTAAGTGGCTGAGCTTGAAGCAGGTTTGCAATAACCTGTCCCATTAAGTGAAATCATTTCCCCCCCAGGTGCCTGAGTAGTGTAGCTACTGCGTTAATGTAGCTAAGTTTGGGGAACCATGGAGCGCAGTGTGTCCTAACTCTTGTCGGTCCTTCTCTGCGTCCTTCAGAGTGGCTCTTCTGGGTGTCCGTGCATCACCGTGGGTCTGTGACCTCAGCGCTCATTCCTGTCCCCAGCCAGCCTGTCTCTATTTCTCAATCCACGTGTCTCTGTCTCTCTCATCCTATTATCTGGCCTCCTGTGCTGTGCTAACGAGTTCGCTGGGCGTGGAACTTTAGCAGCCTCCCCTGCAGTGAAAGCTGAGCACTTGCCTCCCCTGCAGTGAAAGCTGAGCACTTTCGTGGAACAGAAGAGTGTTGTGGAGAGCAAATGGTCTCTAAGAGTGTGAATGTTAGTTACCTTGTTATCCTGGTACTAGAGAGAGGAGCCTCTCAAACGCTGTCATTTCAGTAGGAAAGGCCTTTGAAACCTTTTCAGGTATCTTCACTCTTGTCTCCTCCACCACGAAAGGATGGATATGTATGTAGTACTGTTGGGATGGTGCTGGGCATTAGGGGAGGGGAGGCAGGAGGGCCCTGGGGGGGGTGGGAGGGACAGAAGGAGCACAGGTCTGTGTGTCTCTCTCTGGCTTAGGCATTGAGGGGACATCGGAGCACAGAACAGACAACATTCCTGCACTCATGGAGGTCGCACTGGGAGGGGACAGAGAACTGTGTTGGTCTTGACAGAAGGGCGTGGAGGGGTCCAGCTGAGTAGTGCTGGAGGGGGTGGGTTTGGTTGTGAGGTCTGCCTGGAGAGGAGGGAGCCCCGCCCCCTGCCCCTCGGAGGCCCCAGCCTCAGCTGACGGGGGTAAGAATGGCAGGAAGGCAGCAGAAACTCTGTAGATGAGAAACTGTGTGGGCTTAGGCTGCGGTGGGCTGGCAACCTTGGGCAACCACGCCACTCCAAAGCGTTCCCCTTCTTAGAAGAGCCCAGAGCCTTTCCGTGATACCGGGTAGGGACAGACCCAATTCCTGGAGCCTGAATTCCTTGCCAGGCCAATGGGATTGGGGTGGGGACTCAGTCAAAGTGAATTTTATTTAAAGAAAATGAAGTAACATCACGTATCTTGCCCATGTAAGTCTATCATGTTTTGGTTGAAAGTAACATAGCAGAGTAGGTGAGAGTAACAGCTCTCAAACCACTCAGACCTTCTCCCAAGCAGATCAGCACCCACAGATTTATTATATCCCTGGGCAAGTTCCCTTTGTTCTCTCACTCAGTTTGTTCATCTGAAGCATGGCGATAAAGGACCATGTGTGCCTGAGAGATCCCTATGAGAAATAATCAGTGCAGATTGATCCCTATGAGAATAAATCAGTGCAGATTAAAGCACTGGGGAAAAGTGCCTTGCACCTGACAAGTCCTTGAGAAGAAGGGCCTCTTACTTTTGCCATTTCTTGCTGACTAATCATGGAGAAGGCACTAGGCATCATCCTTCACCACGAGGCTTTGAACAGAAGGCTTCGGAAGTTTTGTCCTCCTCTAAGTGCCACAGATGCGGGTCTCTCACGTGGCTTAGTCTCTTCTCTTTAACTAACAGTGGCCAAAAGCCACAATTACAAATTGGACTAACAATGCGGTGTCTTAACATTTTTAAGAGAAGGATCTGGGGTTCATTGAAGACCAGCCAAACTCAGAGTCATGTCCAGGGACAGTTAGGTCAGGGTTTGGGCTGTGTCCGTGCAGCAGGTCTCGGCACAGTCCACAAACACAGCTTCCCTACTTGGGAACACTGGGCCCACCAGTAAAAAGTAAAACCCACCCCTGAGAGCAAGCGACCATCTTGACAAGTAAACTGTAAAGAAGAACAAAACTGGAGAAGAGAGGGAAACAAGGACGTTGGCTCATTGACAGGAAAGAATGTGCTAGAGAGTGCTGATGTCTTCACATAGCCTTTCATGTGCCTGAACTTGAGTCTCTCCTGGGAATAAGTAAGCTCACAGGTTTGTTCCTTGGGAGGGGAAGGGATATTGGCCTCAAACAGGCCTTGAGTTTGAGACGGAGCTACACAAACAGACCTTCAAAGTCTTCAGCC